TTGAGCACCTCATATATGCAATGGGGCTTAATCGGGCGAACATCTTATAGAACCACATATTACACTCATCATATTGCAACCCTTCTTCCATGGGAATAAGCAATAGGGTTGTCCACATCTATGAGCAGAGCCGTCCATCTTGAAAATCAACTACAATGGTGACACAAACAGGATATGTAAAATAATTCTCAAGCCTTAACTAAATAAACCAAGTAAAAGTCGATTAAGTATGCTTTGATGCAATAAATACACAAAAGCAAAATCAAAACACTCAATACAATATCACTTTAAGTGGAATAGATTCAATTCAAGTGTAAATAGTGGTTTTGATGCGTAATTTACGATCAAAACAGTTAGTTTACCTCGACGAGAAACAATATCAATGTCCTTTTAAATAGCGCGACTCAAAATTCTTTATAATTTGTTACTTTTGGTAACACGAACCCACGTATTGTGTAGTAATGCGAATCACCATAGTTATTTAATTGCATAGCCACACTCTTGTTGTGATTCACATCTAGTGACCATCCGTCCGTCCATGCCACCAATGAGTTGAGATCACCCTGTAATAATATTCTACCTGACATACTGTGTATAGGTCTCCAAATCTTCGTGTCATCGGCGAAAAGTTGAACGAATGAATTTGCTACAGTCGGTAATTCATTTCCATAAAGTAAAATGAGTAGAGGACCGAGTATTGTGCCTGGAGGAACTTGTGGTGGTCGGTATCCGATATAATCCTTAACTTCGTATACAGCTCGTCTTGATAACCGTTCTATATAACGTCCCAACGGTATATTAATCAGAAGGCAAATACGAAGTGTTGATTACGTTTATTACGAGACCACACACATATATCCAAATGTACAGATGCGTTAAACAAGCATAGAAGAGTTGTGCTGAAATGCAAGCAAGCGAGCGAGAGCCATAGCAAAGCAATTTTGACACGTATGGAAGATGGCTGGGAAGCCAACTCCATTTTAGTCAAGCGTTACTCAATATTTATAGTCAGACAATATAAAGCTACAGACATGTGATTAATGGGATAAGAAGGGCACACACATATACGCTCATATAGATTGATAAGCGAATAAATAACAAGGTCAAAGTATGGCTCGAGTAGAATGAATAAAATGGGATGTCCGGAAGTTAGAATAAGGTATATGGGCTTGCCATAATAACTGACACTGCAAACTCCAATCGTTACAGGTCCTCACTACAAGTGAGCTCAATTTACCCTTACCCTTTGCCACCTGTCATGGAGAAGGTCAATTATCCAGTCTATGACTGTATAATGAATTCTGAAGATGCCACAGGTATTCGGAGTTTGACAACGCTCTAACCAGTGATATCGTTTATGAATCGTACCCACCAAGTGAAATCAAAAAACAGAAGCGAAGAGGTTAGAAGATATGTTTGATAGAATAAAAATATATCGGGGATTGTCTGATCTAATATGGCTAGCGGTTGCAGGGGTTGTTGAGCACGGCGTTCCCACTCGTGATCTTGTGCGGATGCATGACCGAGCGCCTTCAGCTAGGTGAGTCCAATAAAACCAATGTGGTCAGCATCCAATGTCGAAAACTAACAGAGCCATTTATTCTGGGGATTTATGTACCGCTCTAATCTGCGACTCACGATGGTGTCATATTATTTATGGGTGAATTCTTCATGCGAAACTTTAAAACAAATAAGATCAAGTGAACTAAACTCAAATGAATATAAAATAGATATAACTAATATTAAATTCATGAAATGTCTAGCATTCGAAATTCAAGTACACACATTCCTTTACCCTAAATTATCCTTCTAGCTGTGGAGATGCAAGTCGAGCAAAACTTACAGAACATTTTTCAGTGGAACAGCAAATATCAAAACAGAATTTCAGATAGCAAGTAATAATATTACAGATGTTTTCCAGTGAGTCATCGGTGTATGACAACCCCCATTTAGTCGTACTAAATTTGTTTTTTGTATTTCAGATATTTTATTCGACGTAACTAATCATACATCTTGTATGAATTCAGACTATGTACAATTCATTGTCTTGAGTGTATAGCATCAATTTGTAGTGGATTATCTTCTTAAGGCTTCGTATATAAATTGTTCTGATAACCGTTATCAAATTAATCCTAACAATGTGTAAATTCCAGTACAAAATACGAAGCGTTGACAAGAGTTTATTATAGAATAGTATGAATCCCAAAGCTAATACAAACAGAAATGTGAATGCTAGCAAATGGATAAATACAGAGGTGAGATAATAGTCGAATGAATTGATAAGATTAAAACAAATACATAAATGAAAGAGAATGATTAATCGAGCGATTTGAGCAACCATCATTTAAGCTAGTATGAGGGATGTGTGTATAGACTGTAACGCACACTTCAGCATACATGATCATTCCGATATGATAATAATACTACAAATATGTGGAAATATTGTTACTTTTCAAGTGAAGGGCTTGACAAAAACGTAAACAGACTTCAGTGTAGGTTAGGTGCTATAGTGTTATACATAATTATGCGCTGAGCATTCATAGTAGTCACACGATAATTAAGAAATGATGATTGTGGAAGCTGAAAATAAAGTTGGGCGAAACAATTGTTCTCTCAAATTGAATATATTTGGTTTAATAATTATTGATAAGAAACTATGACCTCTTGAATTCACTACCACCGTAATGAATGAGAAAACAATGCATCATTCTTTAGCTCAACGATTCTGTATATTGTAACTACCACTAGTCACTTTGAGAATGTTAAGTATCTTTTAACTGTTCACAGACTTACAGTATTCTTTGATCATTTTTAGGATAATGATTAAGGCTGTTGCTCCATATATTTAGTCATTTATGGGAATATTAACAATTATGCAGATGTAAGAGAATGTTTGTACTTTTAAATTACTAAAATCATGACATAATTGCATCAATTGATTATCTTCTCACTGTTCTTTCTCTGAAAGTAAAATTGCGCAATACTAAAGATATTGGGTTCGAATCTCGTAGATGGGATCTTAGTTGCACATTGCTGAGGATTCCAATACTAAAACAAAATGACCGTCTAATACTTCCAAATTTTCAGTGGTGGTTCAACATCGATCGATTGATAATCTCAATCAAAACCTTAACAATCTACACAACCCCATACTGTTGTGTAACATTTAGATAAGAGTTTGAGTAAACTGTTTTTTAAATAAGATATATTTTACATAGATTAAATTGAAAACACACATGAAACTTTAAATGTCTGTTAGATATTCGAATAAACAAAAAAATAATGATAATGAATGTATTGAAGTAACAAATTGTTGACAAATCAATAATTCTTTTTGATGAGCACATTTTATCTTCTATATGTTATGGCCTCTTATAAACTTCAGAAATTATCCTAATCTACAAAAAGATGATGAACGAAAATTATTCATTCAAACATTTTAATATTTTACACAATTGTATATTTAATGTGATTGAGATTTAGATGGTGGTTGGAGGTAGTCTACCTCCAACCACCATCTAATATCAATATATAGTGCACGTAGTGTCGAGTCACCTAGACTGGTGGCCACATTGCAACATGATCGATAGCATTCGATCTGCACTAATAAGGACTAGACAAGCATGACATTGATCACCACCCAGTGATCAATCAATTGTGATTTAATGTGATTGTTATTACTGAAGGCATTCATTGAATTTGGAACATTTCAATGAACAATATCAACCTGAATTAATACAATTCATTGACATATGTCAGTAAATTTCTGAATACTACATTATAAAGACTTTAATTAACGAACAGTCCAACTACTAAGTTATTTATCTCAGACTCAGACTCTTAAGTGAATGTTGAAATTTCTGAACTATGTAATCTCTTAAACTATGTGATCAAAATTGCTTCATTTCTTTCTTTCTGCGAACTAACTCTTTCTACCCGTACTATATTGTTATATGCAATCTTTCTTTTCTATATTACCACCACTGAACTAACTACTTCTATGAATCCAGTGTTCATCTTGTTGTGTTAATGAGGTATGGCAACTTGAACCGATGCATATATGTGTCTGGTCTAATGTTCTAGCTGACTGACTGACTGACTGATTTCTCCATAGCTTGGATAAGAATAACACCTCTCTCATATCATACTAAATGTTAGTGGAAACAATCTTGTATTACTTGTCAAAAACTGATCAGAGACAGAATGTTAAACTAATTTAGTTGGTTGAAGCATATTTTTACTTAAAGCAAATGAAACTTATATTTTGTTGAAATTCAGATTTAGAAATACTTATATCAATGAAATTATATATGTTGTCATATTTTTATGTTCACCTATTTCATTACACCTGTTAGCACTGGAGGAGGAGCATAAATCACTCATGGGTATTCTCTATCCAGCTATGCCTTGAACAATGCATTCCACTACTTTCCAGTTCCTATTCATCCTCCTGATGTCTGCTTCCGATTCTCGACACAGTAAGTGATTGAGTCTTTCACTTATCTGTTTCTCTTCAAGATTCCATGTTACTACTGGCCTTGTGATGCAGTCTGATGATTTCCTTGATCTATACGCAATTCACTTTCATCATCTTTCCATAAATTCTTCTCCATCTAGTAGCTGGTTCGTTCTCTTACACATTAGGTTGTTGCTGATTGTATGTGTTCATTGGCGATTGAGCATCATATGTAGATAATTTTTTATAAATACTTGCATCAATTTTTATAATGATCGTAGTAGTTCTCGGACAGTCCTAACAGTTGTTTTAAGTTCTACATATTCTTTGATTGTAGAAATGCTACCGTTGCTTTGCTAATCCTAGCGTTTCGGTGTGCATCGGATCCTCCTTGTTCGTCGATGATGCTGTCCGTGTTAAAAACATTGGTAGTTGAGCACATATATAACATTAGTGTAAACTAGGTATACTCTAGTGTAAACTATATATATTTATATATATGCATACTCAGAAATAAAATGTTATTATAAACGAACCTTGGTTTCTAATATTTATTCTTTTCACAAACAGCTATGTTACCATTACTTGTTGTCATTACCTATAAGGAAATAAATTCAGATTGAGTAAATTGTTTCAGTCAAGGTTAATAAAACAAAATTATCTTCTGGATTTGTGTAATGTGTCTTCAGATATGAATACATTGTTTACTACAACTCTTAATAAACTCAAGGCGGAAACTAGCAAACTCTTACTGTCATTAAAAGCTAAGCTAGGATCGTTCTTATGAATTAGGTTATATCCAAAGAGTTGTAACCCATGCAGATTTTATGGACTACCAAATATCCACAAGAATAATACTCCACTAAGACCAGTGGTAGACTATGCAAATTCATCGACTTACAATCTAGCTAAATATTTAGCTAAGATTCTCAAACCATATGAAAAACGGATTAATCATGGAATTAAAAACTCTATGGAATTCAAGAATTTAATTGATACCATTGATATAGAAGAAGACGAAATAATGGCAAGTTTTGATGTATCTTCCTTATTCGCTAATGTACCTATCAGTCGAGTTATGGATATTATCAATGATTGTTTAGAATCTGATTTAGATTTGAATTTACGATGCCCATTAGATCCATCAGAGGTTATAAAATGCTTAGAATTATGTTTAAGATCTACTTTATTCATATATCGAGGTCAACTTTACAGACAGAAAGAGGGTATAGCAATGGGCTCATCAGTTTATCCGATTGTAGCGAATTTATTCATGCATCCTCCTAGAAACTAGTGCAGTCTCTCACACATACATACATACCTACACACTCACACACATACGATTTGTTACTCAGTTAAGTATTTCCATGTAGTTGATTTCTCCACATGATTTCTAGTTAAATGACTCATTTTATCCTATTTTGAAAAAAAATCAACATCCAAATATGATTGGTTTGACCCAGTATAATCTTGATTGTTAAAATGCTATATATTTCTTTGATAATTTTGATTTTGATTATTACCCTGAAGAAGTCCAGACAAGTTAGCTGGACGAAACGTTGGAATTAGTTAAATTTCAATCGCTGAGAATATTTCAAATATAATTTTCACATATAATGACTTCTCTATACTCGGCGCTCAATTACTGTCAAACTATTCGTTCTAATCTTGACGAATATTCGTATAAATTGTTTACTATTATTCTTTTATTGTTGTGGATGCGGAGGAATAGACCAATAATTATCATGTTAAGTCCAATGGTGTCCTTGGACCTTAAATGGATATTTCCTATTGGTCGATATCTGTTAACTTGTTGAATATTGTACAAAATGTTGTTTTCTATTTTATGGTACGATGTGGTATGCTTGATTAGTATATAAATAGAGTATGTTTGAAATATAATGATTCATATCTCAGAGGCTGTGGCTTGTGTTCTGGACTCAACTGGCTGGGCTGGACAGGGAAGCAGGACCAATCAGAACTGTAGGCCATTCGTTCGTGTTTACGTGTCACTGTAGTCGATCGATAAGTACGCGGCTCTCTAATTTTCCAGTCAAGGACACAACAACTAGCACAGGGTAAAAATCGACAGCAACCTAAAGTCATAACATTTATATATGGAAGTTTTATTAAGATAATGATAATTATCATTATATTACTCTAATTGATTATTTTATACCATCCGCTAATGTTTTTTTATTGAGAGACAAAACTAAAAAGGAAACAAGCCATATGATATTGTTGGCCTTATTTGTTTCACTATAAAGGAGAGTGAAGAACAAAGATTTGTACAAAACAACATGAATTTGTATTAAGTTTCATAAGTTCTCATCAGTTGCTCACAAAGTATAATAATTAGTAATCTGTGGGGCCCTTTATTTAGACGTCCGTTGCTCCGCGCGATGTCATCAATGGGCTCACTACTTAAGTGGCTCTATATCTGACTCTAATTTGATCGTTTGAATGATTGTTGTCAAAATATACATAATCGCAAACCACGTATATAATTATCGACTTAAATCGCATTAGCGAATAACGGGATTTTGGAATACATATATTTTGTACAATCATTGATGTGAACAGATATTCAGGGAATCTCAGCGAATGAGACGAGGAAGACAAAGCGAAGCAAAACGACGCTCAGTGAAAAAGGCGTGTGAGCCAACTCTATTTAATGAAGTGTTATTCAGTGTTTATGTTCACACAAAACTGATTACTGACATTTGATGATGATCAGCCAAATGTCTTCAATTCTCCCGTAACAGTCATGTCAAATTATTTGAGACTGTTCAAGTTTCGGAAAATGTTTTTAGACTTAATCAGAATCGATTATTAGTTTGAGGAAACTCAGTCAGATTACTCTGGGGACAAAGCTCACAATTTTCATCCTTATTATGGATTTACACCATCGGTTATGTAACTTCGATCATTTGATATAGTCTAGGCCCTTAGGCTTTAAATATATATTCATAAAGTTTATCAGTGTACGCTAGTGTATCATCAGTGAAGGTAATCGAAAATTAACTGAAATCTGTATCTATTCCCCTTTTTGTGTTTTATGGGCATATATAAATTTACACTATTTACCTTTCAACAAACATCTTACATAAAGAACAGTATCATAATGTTTACGCCAATAATATCTATATAAACTGTGGTAACTTACATCAAGTACTGGGCAATAGTCATATCTGTCCAAACCTCTATAATATTTTCTTTCGTCTACCGATACATTAAATGAGTTATCCATATACTGGAATTCAGGTTTTATCTCACTTTCACGTTTATACAGCATACAATATGCTTGTGCATTTTGAGAACGCAAACATTTTATTTCATTAGGTTTATCACAAAACGGCTGGATGTCTTGTCCTCTGGAAAACGAAAACTCTTATTTGACATTAAAATAAAAGACTTCTCAAAAAAATTGGTGAACTTAACAATTATTGAATAACTTGACAGTTGGAATCATGGGTCGATTCAAGCTAGATCACCATTGAAAACCTGGAAGCACTGAACGGCCCTTTCGTCCTAGTATGCCACAACTCGGCAGTGCACATCTACGACTCCGCAGGCAGCACTCGAACCCAAGACATTCAGTTTAATTTTGAAATAAACATCTTGTCTTCATTGTAGTTGAACATTTATTTACTCATGTAATAGAAGTTAAGGAATGTTTACACTGAGTAATTCGCTTAAAATACAATCCAGCCGGTACCGCGAAAAATAACTAATTTTATACAGATGTCTTTTAGCGTCTTTTTAGCAAGGTCGATTCCGACGGATTATGCTTGTTGACCAGATATCCAACACTCTTTATTCACCCAGTCATGAGACAGGCGGTAAACCTAGAACAGATACGGATGGACAAGAAGGTGAAGATGCCTTAGAAGCGCTAGAAACGTTTACGTAACTGTAAAGCACCGTCGGTGAACATGAAGGATCCAATCCACACCGAAAGGCAAACATAAGCTAATCAAGCACCGCATCCTCACAACTGAAGAACGTATGTAACTCAAAACAATTGTCAACTAATAGCGCATTCAAAATCATCAATACAAACGTCAAGACTGTTCTACTGTACGAAACAGTAATCTGCAGAACTACTACGACCGTTATCAAATCGATACAATTATTTCCTAACAATTATCTACACAAGATACTCGATCACCATTGAACAAATACCACCAGTAACAACCTACTGTGTGAGAGAAGAAACCAACTACCAGATGAAGAGTAAATTAGGAAAATATGATGGAAGTGGTTAGGACATGGATTGTGGAAATCAAACTGCATCACGAAACAAGCACCAACTTGTAATCGTGAAGAGGAATGAAAAAGTTGGAGACCCGATAACACGAAATGTAGGGTATAGAAAGTATACATGTAAATATTTGACAGCAACTGGAAGGAAGTGGAAAGGATTGCTCAGAACAGGGTTGGATGGTGAATGCTGACGAGTGCACTATGCTCTTTCATGACTGGTATCAGGTATAAGTAATTGAGTATATAGACAATGCAGCATGATGATACTTCCATATTCGTTACTTATTAAGTGGTATTTGCACTGAACTTAGATATTGTATAATTTTGGCTTTTTATTTAAGTTTACACTTGTAAATTATATACAATATCTATCTCAGTTTTGTCTGATTTAATAAAGTTTGCAACAGTGTCAAAAAAGGATGATCCGGGAAAACTATTCACTTTAGTTTGCGAAGAATTATTGATATTTAGTTGTTTATGACCATAGACAGATAAGAATGAGATATCATAGAAATGCAGAAATAAAAATAAATATACAGAAACTCCTAATATAATAACTTATTATGTCGGGAATCGGAAGCACACATGAAGAAGATGAATAGGAACTGGAAAGAGGTGGTCATACACGTATGTAAGTACGTAATGAAGTATTTTAGCATGTAAGTAAGTAAGACGTCTTTTATATAGGTTAATATCCAGTGACTGCAATATCTAATATTACAAGTGTAAGTTTAAAATTCACAAAATTCTTTTGGGTAGTCACATACTACTTATAAAATTTTCAAAAACGACACAATAATAAATTGTGTAAAAAACAAACGAAAAATGAAAAAAAAAAGATTTTCTTTTCGAGTTACCTTCTTTTTCTATTTTTAATAAATTCATAACAGCTTTTCATTACAAAATCACAACCTAAACCTTTTCCCCAATTGAATTCAGTGGCCACAGTATAGTCGACATCATAAAAGCTTAAATAAAATGTAATTGAAATAGAAATCAATCAAATGATAATGAAGTAGAGGTTTCGCATACAAATTATTTTTGTATTTTTAACTCCATTTATTTATTTGTTCATTATTTGTTGTTTTTTTTTTCGTTGTACCATTTTATATTCAATAAATAATATGACAGTTTCAGTAAGACCGATAGGTCCTGAGTTCGAATGCACACTGTTAAGGAGTCCCATATTAGGACGAAACGACCGTCCAGTGTTTCCAGATTTTGCTTTAGTGGTCTAGCTTTAATTGACTCATGAATTCAATTATTTAATTATCATTTTATTGTTATAGTTTATATCCTTATAGTTAACTAATGATTCACTGTCTCGTTGTGCATATCAGTTCATTCTCATTTCTAATCATATTATTTATCATTTCTTAAGAATTGATGAAGCTAATATGAAGCTTCAAAATGCGTTAAACTCGTTTTATCCTGGCAAACAGTTTAGCGAAATTGTTCTGTACTTTATTATTTCATAATCAGTTGTGATTTAGAAAGTAATGCATTCGAAAATGCAGATGTGAAGGCGCGGATCGGCAAAGTAAGAGCAGCATATTTACAACTTAGAAACATCTGGAACTCAAAGCAACTATCAACCAACACAAAGGTCAAGATTTTCAATACAAATGTCAAGACAGTTCTACTGTATGGGGCAGAAACCTGGAGAACTACGAAAGCCATCATCCAGAAGATACAGGTGTTTATTAACAGTTGTCTACGCAAAATACTTCGGATCCGTTGGGGGGACACTATTAGCAACAACGTACTGTGGGAGATAACAAACCAGATCCCAGCGGAGGAGGAAATTAGGAAGAAGCGCTGGAAGTGGATAGGACACACACTGAGGAAAGCACCGAACTGCGTCACAAGACAAGCTCTCACATGGAATCCTGAAGGTCAAAGGAGGAGATGAAGACCAAAGAACACATTACGCCGAGAAATGAAAATCGACGTGAGAAAAATGAACAAGAATTGGATGGAACTAGAAAGGAAGGCCCAGGACAGAGTGGGCTGGAGAATGGTGGTCGTTGGCCTATGCTCCATTAGGAGTAACAGGCGTAAGTAAGTAAGTAAGTAAGTAAGTAAGTAAGTAAGCTTTCGAAAATTCATATTGATTTTGGTTGGATAACTGTTAAAAACAAGGAAACATTGAACAGTTGTTTCGTTCGAGTATGAAGCTCCCTAGGGATCGGAATATATGACCTCACGAAAGATCAATATCAGAGCCTTAATGCTTCACGATGATCGTATTACCTTCAGACCGATGCGTTAGCACCTAATGATTAGGATTCATAACTTCAGCTAATTCGTAGCATTAAGAGAATTTGTTCTTTTACAGTTCGTTGGTATCTACCAAACTCACAACATAAGTGAATTCCACTGAACAAATCTGGTGGAACATTAAATGAATACTTTTAAATAGTTCCTCACTAGAGCAAAATGGCCATTCATTTTTTCTCCTTATTTTATTGGTTGTCCAAATCAAGACATTTTGTGATACAGAAACATCCTTTTATGCTTATAATGCTTGTATTGTAAGACAATATCGAAGCAATCCGCACAGGATGTACGTTTGTTAATAAGTGAATGATCATTTGCAGCCCTAACGCATCAATGAGACTATTCAAACAACCAATACAATATGAATTGTAATTATTATAATTAATAATAAATATCATATTGAACTATGTATAACTCACTTTGTGTCTTTGAAATAAGCCAGAATTATTCTGGAAACAGACTGTGTAGCCAATGTGCTAGGTGTCATCAGATCATCCTGAAAAACAAGTTTTTTTCAGAACGTTAAGATTATATTAATGGTAATTAGTATCTTAAAATCACATTGATAGTTAAACTGCAATTATTGTGAATGCTTCATTCTGTTGTCATAGGCATTTTGACATATTCTTCGGCCCCTCATTTATAATGTTTGTTAAGGGTCTCAGAACTATATGCCAAGAACCTGAAGTCAGGTATCGATCTGTCATCAATCCAATGTTAAAGTAATGCTTTGGTCAACTATGATTAGCTTTGTGCGCACGGCATCTCGGTGACTTTCATATCTAAAATTATTCGCTAACACTGGGATCATATGAAAAATAAATATTTATGGTCATTCTGTAAAAGCGTTTTAAAGAATGTTGTAGGTTTCACTGAGTTGACAATAATAAATTGACCACCTTCACAAGAAGTGACAGGCGTAAGTAGGTAAGTAAGTAAGTAAATGTCATAAATCCAACTAGTTTTTGATTTCTTATTTCTATCATTTATTAAAAAGAATAATCATCGGAAGAGAAACCAAGTTAAATTAGCTATATTTTTCACTGGCATTATGGTTGTCCAATTATACTGAACTCAAATAAATTGGTAAGCTCAAACTCGAACATAACCCAATCCTTCGATTTCTACACAGACAAGCGAACCATACGCAACCTACAACATCTATGAACGAGTTCAATACAACCTACTGGAGTAGATGCAGACAATTCATCCGTCTAATCTAACGCAGTCAAGAAATGAAATGCACCATAACAAATATCATAACTTCAATGATATTTTAACTATATACTATATCCAACTAGGCAGAGACCTGGGTTTAATACATTCTGACACACTATCTTTAATTGTTTTATGGACCACTAAATAGCTAGGGCTAATGAGACTTCCAGAATACATGTAGCAGTTGACACCGTTGAATACTTCATCCCCTACTGTCACATTAGGCACTTACGAAAAGTGTTCAAGAATAGATGTTTTTCATTTCTCAACTAAATCATTTAAAACTGTGCATTTCGTCAACGTGCTAACCGGGACTACGCTATCCACATGCTGTAAATAATTGAAAAATCTTTCAAATAAATGATCGACTGACAAATTTCAACCATGAAATAACCGGATAAAGAGGAACATTGATGAACATTTTGCGATTTAGTCAGTTCACACGATCTTTTCTTACATGTTCCAAATATCTATTAACTACTTTTCACCCCTTTCAAAATCAGGCATTACCATGAAATTTTTAGCTTCATAAATCTGAGTTTCAGAGAAGACGTACGACCATAATTTCCCAATAGTAGCCACATTTTACTTAACACGTAGAAACACCGTGACATAAATGGTTAGCGGATTTTCGTCAGGACTTATTAAACGTGATGCCTTTAGTTCATCCCAAATCATGAAATGATCTACTTTCGTCAAAACAACTGATCATGGTGGCTAGAAAAACAATAAGCAATTCACCCAAAATGGTGTCTGAAACAATCTGCCACATAAACAACGAACAAAAGTTTTATTTTAATGTCAAGTACAACATTCAAAATCACCCCAAAGTTGCTGATTTTGTGTAAACAATGCACAAGTCCTCATAGCTAAGTACATATACTCAAAAACGTGTTCTATTCGTATGAGCCATCAAGCTATAAGATGAATGGAGAAGTTTCCCATCATATCTACACTTACGATGAAACTGCTACATCAGAAATGTTTGAAAAATGAAACCCGTTGCATTTTTCGCGTGTAATGTGAAAATTCTACTGTATTGATGTTTCATGATAATCAAAGATATTTCGAAAACAGAACAACCTTGTATTTTTTGTACTTCTTAACATGAATTACTACCACATTGTCTTACTGTCAACGTATCGAACAAATGGATGTATCAGAATTAGACACCATGCATTAATTTTCAGAGACTGGATCCTTTCTTCTGTTTAAACGATGAGTGGGAACCGGATGTTAGATTTTGATTCCAAACTAGGCATGTGATTATTTAGTTGAATTTTAAATTCAAATCACCCTTTAACCAAAATGTACTAAACAAACAATGTGATTGCGTCATGATAGAAAGTTACTTACCCCTGCGATTCTATGACTAATGTGACTGTTTTGTAATTCGATTCCCTCGAGTCGATCGCATCCAAAATGTCTTCTTGCTTCTCTCTTTAGTGAAGAAACAAAAAAACAAACAGTAAAATTTATTGATACTACTCTAACCAACATCAAAATAGTACAAGTATTTCTAAGCAATTACCTACACAAGATACTCAATGACTATGGAGCACACACCGTCAACAACAAACCACTGTGGGAGAGAATAAACCAGCTACCAGATGAAGAGGAACTTAGGAAAATATGGTGAAAGTGGTGGATAGCATATTCATCACGGAAATCATCAGACTGCACCACGAGGCAAGTGGTAACATGAAACCCTGAAGAGGAACGGAAAAGAGCCAGACCCAATAATTTATTGTGTCAGAGATTGGAAGCAGTCATGAAAAGAATAAATAGCAACTGGAAAGAAGTGGAATGGATTGTTCAGGACAGTGTTGAATGGAGAATGCTTGTGAGTATGCTGTGCTCATAGATGAGGGGTAATGGGAGCAAGTAACAAAGTATGAAGTACATCTTATTTTCGCTGGAAAATCCTACGAACAATTTAGTCAAATGCCTAAGTACACATGCATGTTAATAATAAAAAAAGTTTCTACAGATTTTGTTTTCTAAATATAATTAAAGTTAAAATTTATCAATAATTCTTGAGTTGCACAAGTTAATAGTCGTTGTCTTTCGATCACCGATGCATTCACCAGAATTTATCTATCAGCAAATACAATATTTAAACAACAATAACTTGGGCTAATTTATTTAATAGAGAAAATGGTTATGAGCACTGCATCAAACATTACTCATAATGAGTAATTATTTATTTTCTGTTCCTATTACGTCTGATGCCTTTCATGGAGGAACAAAGGACAACCACAAGCACGATCCGTCGAACTTTGTCAACAACATTCCTTTCCAGTTGCTATTCATCCTTCTATTTTCTGCTTCCGATTCTTGACACAATGCGTTGATGGTTTTCTCGCTTTTCCATTCCCCTTCACGATTACAAGTTGGTGCTTGTTTCGTGATGCAGTCTGATTTCCACAATCCATGTCCTAACCACTTCCATCATATTTTCCTAATTTACTCTTCATCTGGTAGTTGGTTTCTTCTCTCACACAGTAGGTTGTTACTGGTTGTATTTGTTCAATGGTGATTGAGTATCTTGTGTAGATAATTGTTAGGAAACACTTGTATCGATTTGATAACGGTGGTAGTAGTTCTGCAGATTACTGTTTCGTACAGTAGAACAGTCTTGACGTTTGTATTGATGATTTTGAATTCGCTATTAGTTGACAGTTGTTTTAAGTTACATATGTTCTTCAGTTGTGAGGATGCGATGCTTGTTTAGTTAATGTTTGCCTTTCGGTGTGCATTGGATCCTCCTTGTTCGTCGATGGTGCTGTCCAGATAAGTGAAATGTTTCAGATATTTCATCAAGTGTGATTGTGTTGGTGTTCTGCATGTCGTATTTGTAGATGTCGCCATTCCCATTTGTTTCGTCTAGTCATTCCATGTCGTTTCATGATATCTTCATAACAAATGTTGTCCATTTCTACTTCGACGTTCAGTTCTCCCAGAAGTAAGGTCACGTCTTTTCCCAGCCACTTCGCTATGATTGATTGCGACCTCTCATATAATTGATCTTTTTTGTTGTCGTTGCTATCATTGCTGAGTGCATAACATTGGATAACATTCATTGCGATTCCCTCCTTCTTTGTTTTAATGATCCTTTTGACGATTCTGAGTCCAGGTGATTCCCATCCTATAAATGCATTTTTGCTTTTTTGAACAGCACTAGAGCATTTGCCTGAGTGTGCGGAGCATTTTCTTCTTTTTAACCGTAATACAGAAGCATCTCTTCCGACCCTAACATTTGCCGTTTAGCTTAGTTTTGATTTTCTGCAAACTACTGATACTGCAGTGTATGCTATTTTTGTCGCCAAACATAAGTAGTGTGTAACGCCAGTCGTAAGTGGAAATCCTGGCAGCAGAATGCTAAGAAACTCGGGTTGAGGAGAATAGAAGTGAAAATAAAAAGGAATTTCTGATGATTTATTACTGAACTAGTATCTTCTTCTTACAATACATAATTTCAAAATTAAGAGAAACCATGATGCAGTAAATTAGTTTAAATCAAACTAAAAGTCATAAGAATTTTCATAAATCATTTTGAATAGAGTAATATGTTGTTATTGGTAAGATTAACTTGACATGTAAGCTACAAATTACATTTATCAGGATAATAAGTATTGATACCAACTAGTTCGTTTTCTTGTTTCGTCAAAAACTGTTAAGTAACGTGGGTTTTGTCTAGTGTTAAAGTCCAGTATCCCCGTTTCGTCCCATTTTAGGACTCATCAATTAATCGCACATTCATTCCAGTGTTTTCTTGATGGAACTCCAAATCAGTTCATGTTGCTCAAACTTCGAAGTGTTATCCACTAAGCCACCGATTTCAGATATCCAGCTGACGAAACATGGGTTTCGCAAGCCACTAATAGTCAGTGGTCAACTATTCTTTAACTTGTGACGTGATGATAATACTGCGTAAGCAACTTAGGATGCATATATGGCGAAAATGCTAATCAACTGCAATCTTATATGTTAACAACAGTGGGGTAAGAATTTTTACAATTTACAACAATTTTTTTGTAGTTTGCATCGCGAAATAGTTTTAGTTAGACAACTCCTGAAAACCAGGAGCCACTGTGCTGGTATTTCTCCCTTCTATGGAACCCCTCAGGACTATTTCACATCAATAGTACTACGAATTGATTGAAGTTGGGCATGAAATAATTGTATGTGAACTCAATTTTGTGAACATATAACAGTCACCACGAATGTGCATTGTCGTGGAGAAATCTGAGAAACTATTAAATAAACTATAGTTGACCATGCATTATATAAAAAACAGATGATCAATTAAAAGTAGTCCATTGTTATTAGATCTAAATCAAACATTCGGAGATAGGGATTCAATGGCAACATCTTTTATTGATCATTTCATCGAAGTTACGCACAATTAAGTGAATTCAACAGACCCTTCTAACTAATGTCATATAAAATAACCAGGCATATGAAACATTATTACCCTAAAATGTATTTCAAAAAATGTGGTTAGAAATTACAATGCATGTTACAATTATTGGCAGTGGTTTGTTTCATCTTTTTCCATAGCCGATGCATTCTTACTTAAAATTAAAGTCTCAACGTATTAAAATAAAGTAATGATATAACTTACAAGCATATTTGGCAGTCTAAGTATTCGTCTAGTTACTCGAAATTCACCTCTAGCTGATAACCATCTCATTGTTATGTTCTGTACAGGTCTTAAGCTTGAATAAAACAGATAATAAATTTGGTTATACATTATAGCCTTCTAGTCGCATTGTCAATGTAAACTTAACAACACATTATGTTATTTCCCTTAATTAAAAGTTTGCAGAATAATAACATTTACTCTTATGCCTAGTTCATTTGCTAAACTACAAAGTTTCGTTTGATGTATGATTCGCCGTAATACGCTTTTATGTTCTAAACGAAACCTTTAGTACTCTATTTTCCTCAACTAATTCCCAGTTTTGGATATAATTGTATTTTCTCAAATGTTTGCACGTTGTGGTTATGTTACTCATCTATTTATACATGTCGTTTTTTACACTAATATGAATTAGGAATTGGGCATCAGGAATAGTTCGTGTAGTGTTCCAGTTGATTCGTCTTCTTTCTCACGCGCGCACTTGTCAACTAATCAAGTGAAAGAATAGTTTTTATCTCTATCTCTCAAGGCCGTTAGTCAATTCGGACTTACACATTTCCAGCCTCAAGACTAAACTAGATAACCTTTCATGTCAATGTCTTAATCTATATCAAGATAAGTTATATCTTGTATATTACTAGGTAGACAAATCAAGTATGTGACAACCCTGTTATTCAATTTGAAATCCGTTAACACCAGTTTTTGATTCATTAAACATTTCGTGCTGTAATGTTGACATGATGATAGAAGTTATGTAAAATTCATTTAAGAAATTCCAGTAGTAAGTAGAAACGAACTTCAAATTTACTCTCACAAAGGAGATCGTTATTTATTGAAAATGCTCAGCCATAAACCTTATTCTTTACACTTGATGGTCAGTTGCGTTTAGTCATCTTTCATATAAACTGCCATAAAAATAAATCAATCAAATCAAAATGAGTCAAATTGTCACCAACGTTTTTCAAAAGATGAGGAAAATTGTTCCCGATGAATTATTTAACATTCTGAACTCCACAGATCAAACATTTGTTATTCACAGTGGAAAAAAATAGTTCATTTGACAATGTAGATTTATTGATCATTCATCGGTTATTATAGAAATTCAAACTTTCAAAGTACCTATCTCATCATTTTAAATTATAAAATGCTTAAAACGATTTGTCTACAAAGAAGTGTAATACACCAGACAACTATATGTTATCCATTGGTACTTTTCATCAAGAAACTATACTACTAATAACCATTACTTATAGAATTGAACTATACACACATAGTCTCTTAGAAACATGAACTTTTTCATTGAATCTTTCTTAAATATAGCTAACTTAGTAAATTTTGTGCAAAACACACGAAACAGGAAAATAATAAAATAGCTACTTATCACTTAAATCTATGCTCGTATGAATTGATCATTTGAGTGAATTAAAGCAACAGATCTAAGAAGGAATAATATACTCCCTAGATTTACGCATCCTCATAGTAAATGCTCTATTGCTATATATATTATTCGTATATTTCAATTATTTTCTTAGATTTGGACCTAACATATTCTGCTTTCTTTCATTCATTTGTTTATGTTACTCATTGTCATGTTGTCATAACCCGACGAGAATAATGAATGGTAACTGTTAAGAGTTGTTTATATTTTATTTATTTTAACACATAGATATTGGTACAGGGAGGCACTAAATACATATGCTCCACACAGATCTCATTTGATATGTGTGAGGGCTGTGATTAAACTATTCATATTCATGTCCCTCTTATTATGAGCTTCATTTTGATCTATGAACTATAATTATACAATATACCATTCTTGATTTATACCCAGTCTATCAATTACTATCTCCCACATTCACAGCCATTTTGGGCTAAATCTTGTACAAATGCTGTTTCATATTTTATGGTACAATTTGGTCTGTCTGGTTGGCACATTAACCCATTATGTTTGGAATATACGATTCATATCTCAGACACTGAGATTGGTGTTTTGGCCTTAACAGGCAGCTACAAGCAGGAAGCATGACCGATAAGGACTCTAGACTGCTCGTACACGTTTTACGCATCATTGGTCCGACCGATAATTCACTGTCCGCTAATTGACAGTATCATCACGTTATATATAGATATTTGCACAAACCCACAAGGTGTAACACATGAATAACACATAGATCTATTATTCACATTTACTATGAATAATGTTTGGACATAAACCTTCTTGAAATCTGACAGATGATATATCAAAATTATATTGAAACCTAAACTAACATTATGAACAATAACTTCTTGAAAGCATGTCATCACAGAAAATTCATCTTTTTCATTTCCGATCATTTTTACAAAGTCCATTTTCCACTATGTTCACATTCCAAGATAGTATCAATAGTGTACCAAAACAATGTTGTATGCTTATTCATGGTTATAATAGAAACGAAAAGTCCCCACCCCCCAAAAAATCAAAATGATCAAAGAATCGATAAGAAAAACCAAAAGGACTTACTTTCCATTAGGCATCCGATACTGCGGACTTAAATCTGGCAAGTTACTGTAAACAGTCGGAAGGAATCCCTTGCAAAAAAAAATCAAGAGATGGTCAAAATAATTCGGTAGCTCGGACTGATAATTTGGGTAGAGTTGTATCCTATGAGCTGGGTAGCTTATTCGTGAAGTTTTTATTTTCCTTCTAGAGACAATATCATTTGTATAAGATTCAGATACAGGTAAGCAATTCAAATTTCTTCATATATGGCTAGAATTTGTGATAATAATGTGGTCTTCAAAAAGAAACTGAATGCTTTACGATTAAACCGACCAGCTCAGAGAATCCAGCTAGGAGAAGAAGTCAGTTAAATAGAGTTTTGTGAACATTCATCTTAATTTTTGTTAACCATTATTTAAGATTATATTCCATATTTGAAAGTGTGTTAGAATATCTGATACTTTTCATACTCATACAACCGACGTCTATAGTATCATTTTAGCAGTATGCGGTTGTAGAAATTGTTGAATGTCAGTTTAACTCATGAACCAACCTAATATGACGACGCAAATTCATGGATTGATTGAAATTAGACTTTGACTACATTGGATCCCGGTTCACTGGTCTAGAGGTTAAGAGTTCGTGTGCAAGACCGAAGGCCCTAGGTTCCATTAACACATGTGGAGTCGTGAACGCACACTACCGAGGAGCCCCACATTTACACGAAACGGCCTCTTAGTGATTACGGGTTTTAACGGTGGTTTGAACTAGATCGGTTCCTTGACTTCAATCGAATAGTATCACCTGATCCTGACAACCGTGGAACGTACAATTGATTAAAATATGATATTGAAAACGTTTTGAATTCATATAGAATAAAGTAAATATACTGAAGAGGTAAAATAATCCACAATCATAACAGTTGCATACTATAAAAAATGATATTATTTCAATGTGAATTTCTTCACATGTTCAAAGAATGAGCTTACCAATGCATGACATATTTCATGTTTTGTAATATCTTCTAGCTTTTTTTCATTTGCTCCGAGAATAGCATCCTCCGTTAAACAGTAATTCACTATACCTAAATTAGGCCTAAATATGAGCGTTAAAATAAATATATTAGCTTTTATTTCAATGTATTCCAAAGTAACGTTCATTTTGTATAACATAATATAAAAGGTGCCTCTAATAAATGTTTATGTTAGAACATCATCATTAAAATTTGGAAAATATGTTGCTTGACTATTCAGTAGAATGCATCTGATAACACTATAAAAGTTTCGATTGATGAAGAATTAAAACTTTATCGAATCACTACTTTGGTGGTGCTACTGGTGTCAACGGATATAAGTAGTATGTATCACCAGTCGAAAATGAAATGACTGGGCTTGGAAGGTTAAGAAGATCGAAGAGAAGAGGTCAAGAACAGGGAGCGAATGTATGAAACTGAAGAAACATTCAAGTCTGAGACAATTGATAAACATTTTTCAAATGAAATATTACTGTATGGTTCTTAGATATTACTAGAAGATTCTGAATATTTATTTTTATTTCTGCATTTCTATGATATCTCATTCTTATCTGTCTATGGTCATAAACAACTAAATATCAATAATTCTTCGCAAACTAAGGTGAATAGTTTTCCAGAATCATCCTTTTTTGACACTGTTGCAAACTGAGATATTGTATATAATTTACGAGTGTAAACTTAAACAAAAAGCCAAAATGATATAATATCTAAGTTCAGTGCAAATACCACTTAATAAGTAACGAATATGGAATTATCATCATGCTTCATTGCCTATATACTCAATTACTTATACCTGATACCAGTCATGAAAGAGCATAGTGCACCCATCAGCATTCACCATCCAACCCTGTTCTGAGCAATCCTTTCCACTTCATTCCAGTTGCTGTCAGATATTTACATGTATACTTTCTATACCCTACATTTCGTGTTATCGGGTCTCCAACTTTTCCATTCCGCTTCACGATTACAAGTTGGTGCTTGTTTCGTGATGCAGTCTGATTTCCACAATCCACGTCCTATCCACTTCCATCATATTTTCCTAATTTCCTCTTCATCTGGTAGTTGGTTTCTTCTCTCAGAGAGTAAGTTGTTACTGATGGTATGTGTTCAATGGTGATTGAGTATCTTGTGTAGATAATTGTTTAGAAACACTTGTATCGATTTGACAACGGTCGTAGTAGTTTTCCAGATTTCAGTTTTGTACACTAGAACAGTCTTGATGTTCGTATTGATGATTTTGAATTCGCTATTAGTTGACAGTTGTTTTAAGTTACATATGTTCTTCAGTTGTAAGGATGCGTTACTTGTTTAGGTAATGTTTGCCTTTCAGTGTGTATTGGATCCTCCTTGTTCGTCGATGGTGTTGTCCAGATAAGTGAAATATTTCATATCTTCCAGAGCTCGTTCATCAAGTGCGATTGTGTTAGTGTTCTGCGTGTTGTGTTTGTGGATTTCGTATTTTCCTCTGTGTATGTTGAGACCCTACTGATGGAGAAGTTAATGGTACACTAATTGCCTTCATCTGCGTTTGTTGATGTTTATGGTACGGGAGAGTGAGATCATCTGTGACAACCAAATCTTCTTATTGTTCTTTGTAGTCCGTGCTTCCCCTCAGCTTTCGAGGTCTTCATAATCCGGTCAACCACCATAATAAAGAGGAACGGTGAGAGTATTCAGCCCAGTCTGACTCCAGTCATCACTTTGAATGTATCTGTCAGCTATGTTCCATGCACCACTTCACACTGTAGTCCGTCTTATGAATTTCGGATGATGTTGATGATTATGTCAGCCGCGCACTGCATAGTATTGAAGGGGGGCCCACAGTGTTCTCCCATCCATATTGTCGTATGCCTTCTCACAGTCAATGAAGTTGATGTATAGTGACGAGTTCCATTCAATTGATTGTTCAACGATGATCCGTTCTCTTGCAATGCGGTCTGTTCACGACCGATGCTCACAGAGTCCAATCCGTTGATGTCGATGTTGAGCGTCTGCTGAATCATTCATCATGTAAGGCAACATCATGTTGAAAACATTTCATTATACTGACAATATGTGATGCTTTTGTCAATCGCGCAATTGACCAGATGTTCTTTCTTTGGTATCTTGATGATTTGTCTTTCATTCCGGTCCGTAGGCACTTGTTCTTCATCCCAAATTTTCCTGAATGTTGTGTGTAACATGTTTGTAGTTGCTGCTATATGTGACGTTAGTACTTTAGGTGGTAAACTGTCAGGTTGTGCTGCTTTCCTATTTTTCATTTACTTGATGGTCATCCTAACTTCTTCCTTCGTTGGTGTAGTGACATCTATAGGAAGGTCTGTGAGTGATGCTTCGATGTTTGATGGTTTCCGTGGGGCTGGTTAACTGAAGTGCTCCTCGATGTACTCTACCCATATGTTCCTCTGTTCTTAAATCTAAGTGGTTAGCTCTCCTTTGTCCTTGACCTATCTCTAGTTCACTATATTCTCCTAACAGTTTCTCCGTCGTGTCATATAGTTATCTAATATTTCCTTCTGTTTCAGCTTTCGCCGCCGTCATTGATACGTCTTCTACGTATTTCAGATTTCCGGCTCTGATGCTCCTCTTCACTTGCTTCTCTACCTCTGAATATTCAGCTTGTGCCTTGACTTTCTCTTCTCGTGTTTGACTGTTCTTAATTGCTGTCTTCTTGTTCTTCCCTTCCTAAATCTCGTTCAGGGTTTCGATGGAGATTCACTCCTTGTGACTATTAGTACTTGTTACAGTTCGGAGCCTCCTGAAACGTTGGAGTTATTGCTTCTTTGATACCTTTCTAGTTGCTTTCCATCGTATTTTCTTCTTCTTTCAATAGGTTCTGTAAGGTTTGCTACCTGTTGTTAAGAGTTATCTTGAATTGATTGGGTTTGTCAGTATCTCGTAGGAAGACTGTTTTGAACATTTGTAATTGTGGGGCCTGTTATCTTGTTGTCATTTAGATCGAACGATGTTTGTTGAAGGGCTCTCCACTTTAGTGGCCCGTGGATCTGACTCCAATTAGATCGTAAGAATGTTTGTTTTCGCCTATCTTCGTATACAATCATTGACTCCAGTCGCATTCGTCATTAGCGGAATTAAATAGTTCAAATAACGAGATTGGATTTTTGAACACATATATTTTGTATATGCAGCGAATGGAATAGAGACAAGCGAAGCGACACGCAGTGAAGATGGCAGGTGATCCAAATCTCATTTAACCAAGCGTTAATGATTATTTATAGTCACATGAAAATAAGTTACAGACATGTGACGAGTAATGGGATAAGAAGTGTACACACACCTACGCGCTCATATAAAAACAGTTGAGATTGATAAGCGAATAATTAACAAGGTCAAAATATGACTCAAGTAGAATGAATAGAATGGGCTGTCCGAAAACTAGAATAAGGTATATGGGCTTAACATAATAACAGACGCTGCACAATGCTGTTCCCCCAGTTGTCCATTGATTATTTTGTTTCAGTTTGATCTGGAAATCACCACGTGGTGGTGTGAAGCTATGTCAATTTCACTTCTAGTTCCCTAATCTTCCATGGACTTTGTGGACTTTTATATCGATACATTGTCCGGATATTCCATGTACCTATACAAACTGTTGCTGTGGTTGTCAGAGGTGTCATCAGCCTCATGAGCACAGAAGAATCTCGGCACTCATCATCAGGCATCTAAATTCTCTTGGGTAAAGACCCGTCAACTCCCTGGACGGATAATACATGGTTCGATTTGTTTACTCTAGTTGGTGGTTTTTAGCAAGGTTTGGTTCTACGGGGTGAGGTGGCGAACCTTTAAATCCAACCCTCCTCCTTTTTGTTGGTTTGAAATGGGCAGTAACTCTTGAAGGGCATAATTGTACAATAATTTGAGTTGAAATATCCACATCTCTTCATGTTTCCCAGCTGATAGGCCAACGAATTACGCATAAAAAAGATTCACAGAATCAAATAACATAGCAAATGAAACTAATTTACCTCGAAGTATCTGGATCTTGACTACAGTATGAAGCCCAAGCAAGTACACTAACGCCACACGCTACATAATTCCTACTCACAAGTAATACAAATTCATTTGGAGCTATTCCTTCTCCTTCAGTAAACACCTCTTCAGTCTCACCATATTTTCGGGCGTGACATGCCTATACATATTAAAATATGACGAAAAGTGTAATTATTTCATCAAATCAGTATGAAAACTTTGGTTATCAAGTTCAGCGAAACGTTTGTAAAACGTAAATGTAAATAGGTAACTACAAATGTCCAAAATTACTCAATAGAAACCATTCATTTGTAGGATGCTTTGGTCTGGGACTTGCTTAAAACAAAGACATTTAATTATGGACGAATAGACAATTAGAATTACCTAAAACTAGAAAATGCTAGACATCCGCTCTGTGTCTGCTGTAAAAGCTTCTCAAATTAGCTCTCACTATTACAGACAAGATTGGCTTTCGGACTAAACCATGAGTACATTGTTATCGATTAGACGCTGTGCTACTCACATATTCTAGCGGTAATTATCAAAAAGTGGATTTACACATATCTTCTGTCCTTGTTTCGCACTCACCTATTTTTTCTTTTTACGGTTATTATTCAGTGAATGGAATGTAGTGGATTATCTTCGAGATAATTCCTAGGGTTTCGTATTATCAATGGTCTCAATAACTATTATCAAATTGTTCCCAACTTTGTACACTTTTCATGACACAATACAAAGCCACAAGCACACAAAGCGAATTCGAACAGAAGTGCAAAAGCTGACAAGTGGGCAAATACAGACATGAAGCAAGAATAAAATAAATTGATATGATTCAGGCGTATAAATACATTAAGTGAAATGATTAATTGAGCGATTTGGGTAACTAGCATTAAAACTTGTATGAGGGCTACGTATGTTGGTTGTCACATGTAATTGAGCACACGTGATCATGACGACATGATACGAGGATGTAGACAACGTATTAGTGTTTGAATGAGACTGTCTGTGGAGTAAGCTAACTGAAGGGCTTGACAAAACTAAATGTAAACGTATTTAAATGTAGGTGAGGTGGTATTAGGATACTGAACATTTTCCACAGTGAAATTTGGAACACAAACGTTGTATGCATACTTTGAAAGAAAACACATCGGTCAATGATTTAGAGAACTGGATTGAATTTGAGAAATAAATGGGAAGGGTGTGAAATTGAGCTTCTTTATAATCTTGTCTCTCGGATCCGCGGATTAATTGAAACGAAGCTCTAATAGTCCAAAACTCAGCCTGGAGTCCCTCCGGGGGCTACTGCCGGTCCCAAGCCCGGATAGAAGAGGAGGGTTGTCATGGATTTAGTAACCCCATCCCGTAGTAAACGAACTCGTTAAAAAAACGCTAACCAGAAAATATTATTCAAACCTTTTAAACTCTGCCCTGAGAATCAGAAGGTCTTCATTTAGAAGAACTATGAAGCCTCATGATGAAAGCCGAGTTCCTTCGGAAGCCACGAGTCCGATTCCCCTTCTGACAACCAGAGCAACCATTTGTTTAGGTACACGGAATGTTCGTACAATGTGGGACACCGGGAGAGCCTTCCAAATTGCTGCAGAAATGAGGAGATACAACCTAGAGGTACTTGGGATCAGTGAAACACATTGGACGCAAGTTGGACAACAACGACTAACTTCAGGAGAGCTTCTGTTATACTCCGGCCATGAAGAAGAAAATGGACCACATACACAAGAGTTGCATTGATGCTGTCCAATCGAGCACAAAGTACACTTATAGGATGGGAATCTCATGGACCAAGGATCAGCAAAGCCTCGTTCAAAACAAAGAAAAAGGGCATGTCAATGAACGTCCAATGCTACGCGCCTACCAACGACTACGATGAAGACGCTAAAGATCAATTCTACAATAGGCTGCAGTCAATCATCGAGAAGTGCCCAACAAAGGACCTGACCATTCTGATGGGAGATTTCAACACCAAGGTTGGAACGAACAACACTGGATATGAAGACATCATGGGACGACACGGACTGGGAGAAAGAAACGAAAATAGTGAGAGATTTGCAAATCTATGTGCCTTCAATAAACGGTCATAGGTAGTACCATATTCCCACATAAGCGCATTCACAAAGCCACATGCACTTCACCGGATCACACTACGCAGAACCAAATCGACCACATCTGCATCAACAAAAAGTTCAAAAGGACGATGGAGGATGTGAGAACCAAGAGAGGAGCTGATATAGCATCAGATCATCACTTCCTGGTCGTCAAGATGAAATTGAAACTCAAGAAGCACTGGACAACGGGGCGGACAATATCACAAAAGTTCAATACGGCCTTTCTTCGGGATACTGACAAACTCAACAAATTCAAGATAGTCCTCAGCAATAAGTTCCAGGCGTTTTATGATCTACTCAATGGAGAAGTAACTACTGTGGAGAGCAACTGGAAGGGGATCAAAGAGGCAATCACTTCAACATGTCATGAGGTCCTGGGTCACAAGAAGCACCACCACAAGGAATGGATCACTGTTGATACACTGGATAAGATTCAAGAAAGAAGGAACAAGAAGGCAGCGATCAATACCAGCCGAACAAGAGCAAAAAAAGCCAAGGCACAACCTGAATACACAGAAGTAAACAAACAAGTGAAGAGGAGCATCAAAACCGACAAACGTAAATATGTGGAAGATTTAGCAACGACGGCGGAAAAGGCTGTAAGAGAAGGAAACATGAGACAATTGTATGACACGACAACGAAACTCCCTTGAAATCACCGTAAACCGGAGTGACGAGTGAAAAGCAGGAAAGGCGAAGTAATCACCAACATTGAAGAGCAACGTAAAAGGTGGATAGAACACGTCAAAGAACTCTTGAATCGGCCAGCCCCACTGAATCCACCCAATATCGAAGCAGCACCCACGGACCTCCCAATCGACGTTGGCCCACCAACAATTGGAGAAATCAGCATGGCCATCAGACAACTCAAGAGTGGCAAAGCAGCAGGACCAGACAAAATTCCAGCAGTGGCATTGAAAGCAGACGTAGCGGTAACTGCAAGGATACTCCACATTCTATTCAATAAGATTTGGGATGAGGAACAAGTACCAAAAGACTGGAAAGAAGGACTTCTGATCGAAATACCAGAGAAAGGAGATCTCAGCAACTGTGATAACTACAAGGGCATCATTCTTCTTTCAATACCGGGAAAAGTCTTCAACAGGGTATTATTAAACAGGATGAAGGACTGCGTAGACGCCCAACTTCGTGACCAACAGACAGGATTCCGTAAGGAAAGATCGTGTACAGACCAAATCGCAACTCTACGGATCATTGTGGAACAATCAATTGAAAGGAATTCATCACTCTACATCAACTACATTGACTACGAAAAGGCATTTGATAGCGTGGACAGAACAACACTATGGAAACTTCTTCGATACTACGGCGTGCCTGAGAAGATAGTCAATATCATACGGAATTCCTATGATGGATTAAACTGAAAAATTGTGCATGGAGGACAGTTGACAAAGTCGTTCGAAGTGAAGACCGGTGTCACGCAAGGTTGCTTACTCTCACCCTTTCTCTTTCTCCTGGTTATCGACTGGATCATGAAGACGTCAACGTCTGAAGGGAAGCGCGGGATACATTGGACATCTAGGATGCAGTTGGACGATCTAGTCTTCGCAGATGATCTGGTCCTTCTATCCCAAACGCAACAACAGATTCAGAAGAACACGAACAGTGTGGCAGCAGCCTCAGCAGCAATAGGTCTCAATATACACAGAGGGAAAAGCAATATTCTCCAATACAACACAACATGCACCAATCCAGCCACAATTGACGGAGAAGGTCTGGAAGATGTAAACACCTTTACACATTTGGGCAGCATCATTGATGAACATAGTGGATCTGATGCAGATGTGAAGGCGCGTATCGACAAAGCAAGAGCAGCATATTTACAACTTAGAAACATCTGGAACTCAAAACAACTGTCAACCAACACCAAGGTCAGGATTTTCAATACAAATGTCAAGACAGCTCTACTGTATGGGGCAGAAACCTGGAGAACTACGAAAGCCATCATCCACAAGATGTAGGTGTTTATTAACAGTTGTCTACGCAAGATACTTCGGATCCGTTGGGGGGACACTATTAGCAACAAAATACTGTGTGAGATAACAAACCAGATCCCAGCGGAGGAGGAAATCAGGAAGAAGCGCTGGAAGTGGATAGGACACACACTGAGGAAAGCACCCAACTACGTCACAAGACAAACTCTCACATGGAATCCTGAATGCCAAGGGAGAAGTGGAAGACCAAAGAACACATTACGCTGAGAAATGGAGATGGACAGGAGAAAAATGAACAAGAATTGGATGGAACTAGAAGAGAAGGCTCAGGACAGAGTGGGTTGGAGAATGGTGGTCGTTGGTCTATGCTCCATTAGGAGTAACAGGCGTAAGTAAGTAAGTAAGTCTAGTCGTTCAATGGTGAGCCTATTTTCAGATGAATCAAAATTTTTCAACATCAAAGGAGCAGTATTTTAAAAATCTTTTTAACACACGTCTACGTAGAACAGCGAGGCGGATAGTATTCTGCTGAAGATGTTTTTGGGGTAGATATTTGCGACTGAAGGAGAGTTAGACAGACAATTATCAGTTTACGGAAATCAGCAATTTTTATTATATGGAATAGTAATCTCAGAGAACCATTTTCATTTCAAATACGTATATCATAGGGGAGGGTATCATCAGTGGTCGATGAGATCTACAAATTTCCTGTATAAAAGAAATCAGACAAGTTATTGGCTGGGGATGTCAGTCCTTCACCCATGTTTGTATGGTAGATGGATAGCCAATGACTCGTGACCATGAAATACTACGTGTCTTCGATGAGCGAAGCCCATAGTTCTATCTTTGACAGAAGATCGAATAAGGAGCATTAGCCATCTGCTTTTGTCAGAGGTAACAATCTTTGTCTTAAACGATTTCGTTTAATCGCATGGAAAACGAATCGTTACACGGGATATCTGCAGTATGAATCACATTGTGTTTAAGTAGTTCAAACCTACAGTTTTAGTTAATCGTCTTCACAATGTTGACATATTAGATAGTTTCAAAATTTTCGTAGCATACATTATTCATCTGAGAGGCGAAGCATAGTTGCAATCAGCTGCAGTGTTATTTCTTCTGTACGCTGGGTCACACAAATATAGCTTACCGGTTTTATCAAGTCATACACTTCTTAAGAGCATTATACACCATTAAATAAATAACATGTGAGTAATTAATACGTCATTATTTCGTTTATAAGTAAGAATTCTACCACGAATTCACAATAAACAACTATTTGTACTATTACACTTATTAATTTCATACTATTGCAGATAAATTTTCGGATTTTAACCACCACGGTAGATCAACTCTGTCAAGGGAAATGTTGTAAGCAACAAAATTTTGAATTTTTACTCCCGTCAGAATTTGCAATATTTGATAGGTTGTGTTTGTTTTCCTACGTAAACTACTTGATCAATGAGAATTGCCTTATCTTGGTGGTTGAAATTTGATAAAATTAATTAAGCTCAATGGAAACCTTGAAAGTGTAACAAGCTGGGGTAAAGATCATCTCTGGCTATAACCACGTTAAAAAGTGAATTTTAACAGCTGATACAGTGAATAATAGGGCTTCTTGATAAGAAGAAGACAATAATTCTAGAACTTTTTGGCTTTTACATCCATTCTTAAACAGTAAAATGCAACTATGCAATTTTAAATTGAATAATAATAATGGTTGATATGTATGGAAAGTGCTAAGGAAAATGTTAGAGAAACTTTACACTAATAAGAGGAAGTTGTGAATTGTGGCTTGGAACTACAGTCGTTTTAATGTTTCGCAGCTGGATCGCAGTTCAGTCAGTGAGACTATAATTTATGTATGAGACAATCAGAAGCTAGTGAGCGAGCGAACCTATTTCGATGCCCAATGCTCGCGTACGATCAGTCAACAGTAGATTTTAAAAAGGATGCCATAATTGGTCGGCGACGACAGATGTGATTATTCTGCTCCATTTTTTGTAATTGCGGTGATCAAATGACCGCAGAAAGTTGTTCAGACTATCGTCACAGTGTTGTATTTTGATGTAATATATGTTGAAGGTAAATGTTTGCTACGATGCTTTTTTTGTCCCAACCCAGGTTGGTACTAAGACAAATTATGGTAATTTTTGCAAAATGGATAATAAAAGCGCCAGTAATACTGACTTCAAACTTTGCAGGTGTTATTGAAGCCTCGGGAGTTCAGTGGTATGAGTACTGTCGAGATATACGTGCAATGAAAATGAATCAGTCGTTTGGAGGAATCGGGAATATCATGGAAATCGATGAAATAGTCGTAGGAAAACGCGAATTCAATATAAGAAGTGTTAAAGAAGACTACGTAAGTAACAGGTATTTAAGTATACTCATCAGGTCCCTGGTATATATGGTAGATCATCTCGAAAGAGACACTTCAAGCACATGAGAAACCAATAGGCTACAACAACTATGTGAATTAAGACACCACAGTACACATAGACGACTGAAGAGCAAATCTATACCTATCTAGACTTAGTTACCAACATCATAGAGGCTCTTTCTAACCCTGAAATGCTTTTAAACTGTTTCAAAGAAGTGTATCTACTGTAGACTTTTGGTTTTGTATAATGTATTCTTATTTCATACTGAATGTTTTCTGATCACCTGAAATTTCCCAAGGTCACTTAAGATTCGTTCAAAGGTCATCAAAATAAATCATAGTCTCACCGTTCAACCAATGATCACAATAAAATAAGTTGTGTAACTAAATATAATAAGAAAGAAGTACAGATCGACTGTGTAACGACAAGTGTGCTGATAGTTGTAAGGGCAATAAAGGCTTGAATAAAGTTTTCAAAATAGGATAATATATAGAAAAAGTGATGATTAATTCAGAAATATCACATCATATGGAAAATCACATCTGTACTTTCATTCACTTACTGATAAATATTTATTAGGAATTTCCATATCAAAACATGTTTCACTTTTTCTACAAGTGTCTCTTCTACAGTGTGGTATGTTTTCATTTGAACTGGTAACCATTGAACCTAATTCACATGTTCTAAAAGACAAATGAATCAATTCTAATAAAATCAATCTATTTGAATTATCTAGGGACTTGAAAAGTAGTTTCTCACCTTTCTTGATAAATAAGAAGGGTTTGAAAAATAAAACAGTGTAGGTGTTTGGGAATAACATTTATGATTTTTATATGATGAAAATATTTTTTGACTTTACAAACTATCCGAATGACGAGTCACAAATAGGACGAAACGCACGTTCTGGATTCCACTGCTAGCCACTATCCATCTCTGCTTAGAATGTTTGTGACTTAAAGCAAAATCTAAGCAATACACAATATACACATATGCTTATAAGAGACTGATCAATTGAAGTCCTAAACGCCAATTGGAAGATTCAATGAAACAAAACCAAGTGAATTGATATAAATCATGATTCAGTATTCCTAATTGATTTTTAATAATTTGCTATCAGTATTAAAATCTAGTTAAAATAATGTCAATCCTACCTACTTGCTTAAGTATAGAAACAGGTAAACACCAGATTACATTACTCACTTACTTGCTTACGCCTGTTACTGACAATGAGGCATAGGCCGCCGACCAGCTTAAAAGGTTCAGATAATTTTTTCTGGTTAGCGCTTTTTTAGCGAGTCAGTTTTCTACGGGATGGGGTCGCTAACCCAATGCCCAATCCTCCTCCTTTATCCGGGCAGTGGCCCCTGGAGGGACTCTAGGGGAGTTAGATTATGTTAATATAATAAGCAAAATCGGTCTTCAGTGGTGAAGCGAATTCTTAAGCACAATGATATTTAGGAAAACAAGTGCTGAACATAAGACACTGAACATTGAACAGTACACGTATTGTATCTTAATCAATAAATGTCTAAACTGCACTATATCAGCTCACTTAATACTGAATACTATTTTGGAGCTGAGTTGATTATTCATACGCGCTCAGTTGAAAAAGCACCTATCACTGAGCAAGTGCAAATAGATCGTTTTAAGGACATGAAAATAAAGCAATATCTATTCCTCATCGATATACAATGGGAAGTATAAGCCGTGTATTGAACTTCGACAATTCTAACAAGATTATTCATATTACAGATTAAAGCCATGTTCACATTAGTTTCAATTAGTCTCAAACAATACCAGTAGTGTTGTAGTTGCTTAACGACTAGAAATTAGCAGCGAATCATTCGATCTACCCAACTGTAAGGTAACTAAGACTGAATAAAGATAACGTCATTTAAAAGTTAAATGATTTTCTTTTTAGTTTATCACTATATATGAAATATTATTTACCTCTGAATAACTACATTCTCAGGTTTTTTCACATCAACAATTAGAGCCTTCTCCCAGAATTTGACAGCACCCTCAACTGCTCTCTATTAAAAAAATTCAAAAATATCATTTAGTTAGTTCAGAAATATTGATGTAGAATCGATACATTCTAAAACGTTTTACCTTTAGATCACTGAAGCAGTCGGCACCCAATGGAGTTAATGTTTAACTTCAACTAATCCACGAAATTCAGCGACACACGCACCACTGTCTTTAGTGAATTACCATATTACAACAGACCCGGTTGAACTCCGGTGGTCACTGATTCTCACTAGAAGAATCTCCTGGAGTTCTAGTGAGAAGCATTGACCAGTGGCGTTCAGCCGAGTCTGTTGTGAGATAGTAACTCACTGAATACAGTGGTGCATCTGTCGCTCATATTTGTGGATTATTTAGAGTGATACATTAACTCCATTAGATGCCGACCGACTCAGTGGATAGGGGTTAAGCGTTCGTGTGCGAGATTTTGCGAGGCGGGATTATGAATGCGCACTTCTGAGAAGTTCCACGATATAATGAGTTGGGCATCCAGTGCTTCCAGGTTTTTCATGATATTCTAGCTTCAATCGACTTATGATCTCAACTATCAGATTACTGTAATATTCACTAAACCGCCTCTGATAATAATAATGTGGTATCAAGTGTCAAAATATTTTATAAGAAGTTATTGAACAAACGTTACAAAGCGTTGTTTATTTCATATTAAAGTTTGAATAGTCACAATAAGATGAGAACTATTATTCCAAATATAAAATTTATCTTTTTACAAACTGAATCAACTGTAAACTATTTAGAGTAGTTATTGTACAACTGTATTTAGTCAATTACCACATATGTTCAGAATAGTCAGTAATGAAAGAATATGTAAATGAGTTAGCATAATAACTAGACACTACTTTTCAAAATGTGAACGATAATGTCATTTGTCTTATCATGCAAACTGAAAGACAAGCAAAATAGTGTTTCTGACAGTTTATAATTGCATTTAGTAAAACTTGACGGATATTTGTGATATCACTGCGTGCTGATCAATCAATTGTAAATACATCTCAGTCCTACAGAAAATCAGTCACGTCCCGGTGGTAATGTCTCTGACTGTGAATCTGAGTGACACGGGATCGAATCCGTAAGAGAGCATCAGTTCCTTCAAGATTACAAGTACACCATGCTGATGAGTGCCAATTAGCACGAAACCTAGGTTCAGGATTTCCTGATGAGTACATCCAACCACCATCTTATTTGTAATATCGTTTGATTTTTTGATCTATTTACAAATCACATAACCTAACAAAACACTGTAATATCTCTTAGTTTTGTGCATAAAGATAGATAGTGTTTATTGAACTTTCATACACTCAATCACCTGTACAATAACTAATGCATAGATCATATATTCTTCTCTATATCTTACAATCACTAAACTAGTATTGTTTTCATGCTTTAAGAACTACTATCACGATTCTTTGTTTCTCCTCACACTTTCTTATTTATAATATTTAAGATAATTAAGTGATCTATCAATGAGACATGTTTATGAAGATTAGTATGAAATGTACACCTCCTTATGGCTTCAGTGAACTTTGTTATAGAACATAGTTGTTATCACTCAAGCATACTGAAACTCACTTTGATTTTTGAAAACACTTTACTCGTTTCAACCTTTCTATCATAAACTGGTGTGATTTTCAAATTAAGACGATTCGATGACCGTTTAACAATATTTTGTGAATACATACTATCACTCTGAAACAATACATATATATATGTATATTATTCATTATTCATAGTTGATAACTTGCCAGCTTCTCATTTTCAACAATAGGACAAACATATTCAGATTTCAATAATTTAAACAGTACCAGACATATACAAATGATAGCATAAATGTTCATGATGAAATTTCTGAAGATGGAATATCTTATCTACCTTCATAGGGTTTATATAATATTGAAAGAATGTGAAAATCTCATAAATCTCTTCCATGAAAGTACAGAATTTCGATATTTTTCCATGACCTCATTTTATAATAGAAGCAAAGTAAACTCACATAGAGTATATATGCATGTGAACAACATAAGTTCACAACGAATATATTCAAAATACAATTTTACATCATGTTAATCTCATGTTTAGGTTGTTGTTATTTATTATTCTCACATTACTCCACTTTTGTAAAGCAACACTATTTCATGGATCATATTCATCTTCATGTTAAACTACCAATGTTTGTTATAATTTCAAACTAGAATCTTATGTTAGTTATTCAGAGAATCTACTTAACACAAGCATTATTCAATGTAGAGATTTTGATGTTGTTATCATCACTGTCAGTTTGACATTCAGAGTTATTTAATTTTGGTGTATCATTATATTCTTTCTTCCGGTGACACAGGCATAGAAACCTCTCACTGGTGAAAAAATTATCTGTCAACAATTATTGATATTACCATGAAGCCATATTACAAGTATTGTGATTTGAAAACCGGTTAATGTTTGCATGCTCAGAGTGCTGAAGGCAGTTAGCAGGGTGTGTGTTGAAACGTCTGACATCATTATGAGTATAGTTGTTGATAATTATCTAAAGTCGTACAAACTCTTGGTAGTTGTTATCTTATCAAGTACTAACCATGAACTTCATTTGTACTTTTCTTTTTGTATATTATGTGGTAGAATGAGGCGCTAATACATTAGAATCCATTCATGCACAAAAAAATATAGATGCTTTAGAATATATTATCTAGCAAATACACTATGTGACAAACAGGTTGTAAAAGTGGACCTAGTCAATAACTGGTATTCTTGAAGATATTGCTAATTAGAAGCTATACAGATTCTTATTTTATTAAAAAACAACTCATTTAATTACAAGTAGCTTATTTACTTATATTCATGTATATATTTGTTCAGGTATGGTTTGTTTTGTAAAAGAGACTTGTTAATATAGTTTGTGCTGTGAATCCTAAATTATACAAAACATATAACATTCAATAAAACCAATAACGATAATAATGGTAAAACTACTACTAACAATAGACGATCAATAACAAGTTACTTAAATAAGTGTCATCAACACAAGTGGGTCATTCCATTATCGCGTTAATAGATTGTTTAAGCTTCATGTTTTTGTGATAACCCATAAAGACGTCTGCTTTAAATGAACTCAGTAAACGTTTCATTGCTACATCATCCGTTTGACTATATATGATATTGTTGAACTGAAATTAAATATATTTTGTTGGCATAAATAGGAATCTCTTGAATTCTGTTACTGTTAACGGCAAAAGAATAGGATTCTGATAAATAGCGTCATTACTTTCAAATGCAGTATATTTTGATGAGGACGTCCATTTAAAAAAAGCAATGAACCTACCAAATACATCCATATAATTTTTTCTGTCAGTACAGTTTCACTTCATAGACGTCTGAAAACATTCCTCACGAATCTTTTACTCATAACTGGGTAAAGCTAATCGAAAGAGATCGAGATGGATAATATTGCAAACAATATTTAAACTTAAGTTCTTTTACCCAGATTTACCGACCCGGTTTATTCTCAACCGTTTATCATGTAGATTCTCGGAAGCGTAAAGTTTACGTCGCATAGTATTGTAACCTTCTGTGAAAACCGGATGCACTTCCTCGAAAAGAGTAATATCGGCTCTTGATGCACTCTTAAAACTATAAGTGTGGGCTGAAATTCTAGTTGACCAAGTTTTGTCCAAGTCACTCTAGGAATCATCATTATGTTGTATTTTGTATCCACCTGAATTTGAATCAACTTGCGGTAAAACTAGACGGCCATGCTATTCTTTTCTGACGAAAATTAGGTGTCTTGGATGGCTAAAACAGCGTTAGAGTTACTTAGTGTCATTTTTAACATCTGCTTCGAGTTTCCCTTGTAGAACTTTGCCAACCATCTACAGTACTTGGAATGCTTTCACAACTTACTTGAGTATGATCCTACATACCGTAACGAAACGTCCTTTTTATCATGAAAAAAGATTAGTCGAATTCAGTTCATCGCATCACTAGCAAATCATCTCGAGTTTCAATTGGCTTGTAAGTCGTTATTAGGATACATCCATATTTCGATTGAAAGAGTTCCTTAGAGCACTAAATTCTGGGTGTAAACTATCACTTTCTACCAGATGTGCATCACGCTTCAAGTTCATCATTCTTCGATATTTTTCCAATAAGCATTTTAGACCGATATTGAGATTTACTTCGATCATTGTAAAGATTTTTTATTATGGCTGCATTTACTTCAGATCGACAACCGTACATAAATTTAAAGCATTTGAAGATGTCTACGGATGTCTTCGGTAGACTGAACCTCTAACATTTGTCTGCCAAATCGCTGGTCTTTTTGCAAGTGGAAGGCACTGAAATGTTGTATGGAAATCACTCTTCTAATACACATGCCAGACACCTTACAGTTTGAATTAAGTGAATTTATCTGTATGAAATGAAAATACAAAACTTCTCATGTTCAGAAAAACCAAGTTTCGTATCAATAACCTCAGTTTGAATTTTTCGTCACACTCTTTACAATCATTAGTAAACAGATGCTTATTATACTTAAGTCATACTGAAAAGATAATTCCACTTCCTTAATCAAATATAAATTCAGTCAGTATCCAATATTATTTAAAGTCGTAGTAGGATTACATAGATGAGTTGTTTAAAGCAATAATTTAGTAAGTTCAACAGTTGAGATCATGAGTCAATTGAAGCTAGACCACCACGTAAAACCTTGAAGCACTGGACGGCCGTTTCGTTCAATTGTGGGACTCCTCAGTAGTCCTCATCCACGAGAAGCAGTGAACAGTTGAGTTCAACCAGGTCAGTTGTGAGGTAGTAACTCACTGAGGACAATGGCGGATGTGTTGAAGTTGGACATTACCAACGTTGGATTCCGGCCGTCTCAGTGATCTAGTGGTTAAGCGTTCGCACGCGAGACCGATAAGTCTTGGGTTGGAATCTCGCGAGGCGGGGTCGTGGATGGGCACTGTTGAGGAGTCCCGCAAATGAACGAAACGGCCGTCCAGTGCTTCCAGTTTTTCCATGGTGGTTCGGCTTCAATTGACTCATGACCTCTACCGTTGAAATTATTACAATCTTCACAAAACTCCTTCTGATACTAATTTACTAAGTACTTTTTGAATAGCAGTTTAAGATCATTGATATTGTTGATAAAATGTGCCATGTTAACGAGGCATAAAAGCATAGGTTCATTCTAAAAATTTCACCGACACTTGAATGAGATTTGATTCCTTCCAAAAAAACTCAGATGAACAATGAATAGTTTGTTGCGTATACGATTTATTTACTCTATACTAGATACTCAACTAACGCAACACACAACCTAAATCAGGAATGTTTAACTTTTCTGACAGGCACATGCATTAATTAGTAATCAAGTAAACACAAATCTTAGAAAAAAAGTATGACACATCAGATATTAGTTATAATATCTATCAATCAATCTGAAACCAATAATTAACTAGTGTCTACTTTCTCCAACTCAACTGTTTTCTATAGCGATCTGTAAAACATTCTCGAAGATCGTGCATGAAGTTGATGATTTTTATTAAACGCACAATATTTCATTAACTGACATTATCAAAAACACTAGTCTCAGTTCTCAATCGTGTGATAAGTAATGCGATCAACATGATGTGAAATTGTATTTTGAATATATTCGTTGTGAACTTATGTTGTTCACATGCATATATACTCTATGTGAGTTTACTTTGCTTCTATTATAAAATGAGGTCATGGAAAAATATCGAAATTCTGTACTTTCATGGAAGAGATTTATGAGATTTTCACATTCTTTCAATATTATATAAACCATATGAAGGTGGATAAGATATTCCATCTTCAGAAATTTCATCATGAACATTTATGCTATCATTTCTATATGTCTAGTACTGTTTAAATTATTGAAAGCTGAACAACGCATCAGTGACAACGGGTTCCGGTTTTTTTGCAGTCGGTTAAGTACTTGGTGTTCGTTTTCGATGCCGACGGCCGCAGACCGGATCTTGAGAATATCCGACTTATTAAACTAGTGCCCACTCCCATCAATGTCTCGGCACTAAGTTCCTTCCTGGGACTTGTCATCTATTACTCGGCGTTCGTTCCATCGATGCATGATATTCGCGCTCCACTCAATAGCTTACTGAAGAAGAACAGCTCTTGTGACTGGACTAAACAGTGTGACGCTGCATTTTGTAAAGTGAAGTCGATTATTAGTTCGGAATTGCCGTTGACACACTACGATCCAGCCATGCCGATCATCGTAGCGGCAGACGCTTCAGAGTATGGCCTAGTCACAGTTATCTCACATCAGTTTCCGGATGAGTAGGAAACAGCCGTTATGCATGCTTCCCGCACACTAACATCAGAAAAAAATACAGCCAGATAAAAAAGGAAGTTCTAGCGCTTGTGTTTGCCGTGCGCCGTTTCCACAAGTTCCTGTACGGTCGAAGATTCACGCTTCTTGCAGATAACAAGCCTTTACTCGCAATATTCGGGTCGAAACCTGGCATCCAAACTCATTATTTATTTATTTGGGCACATAAATATTTGTAAAAGAGTGCGCAAATATATTTGCGACACACAAAACCATGAGGATTTAAAGAGAAGGAGAAAAGGTAGAAAGCGTAAAAAAAGGAGAACAATAACGAAGAGGTTGGTGTAAGGTAGTGTAATAATGATAATAGTAATAA